ACACACACACACAATTCTTAATGAAATAGATTGCATTTTGTACCTGAATTTAGATGTCCATATTTTTAAAAATTATCATTACAATATAAAAATATCAGTTCATTTGTTGGGTTATATGATGGGTTTATTTTTTAAACATAAAATAAAGGTACCAAGTATATTAAAGCAACTATTTTTAATGAAATACATTGCCTTTTACACTTGAATTCAGGTGTTCATACTTTTAAAAATTATAATTACAACATACAAGTATCTGTTCATTTGTTGAGTTACATGAGGGAGGTTTTTTGAACATAAAATAAAGGAATCATACAATCACATGGTACAATTAATATGATTAATGGAAGAAAAATAAAAATTAAACTTGGAATTGGAGATGGGAAACAGTCACCAGATATTTGACTGTGAGAGCTCCATAAATATTCCTTGGTTTTGTCTTTTTAGCACTAAACTGTGACATCTTCCATTTGAAAGAAATCAGCTTTGTTTTCAGTGCTTTCTGAGAGACAGTTTCCATCATTTTTTCTTCTGGCAGACACTCGGCTATTTAAACTCTCCTTTTGTCTTTTTGCATTCAGTTATATTCCTGGCTCATACTGCCCTAAACATGCCACATACGAGCCTTGGAGGTTTATAGGTGTCTATCACGATGCATCCTCTGTAACAGTTGCTTAGCTACGTCGTACATCTTTTGTTCTTTGCCCATGGATCAATCCCACCAGGCCTCCAATCGTGCGAGCTGTTCTTTTGATTGTCCCTCCATATCCTTTGCCCTTCCCGCTGCTAAAAGCAGCATGGCAGGTACTACCTCATGAACTTTCTGCATCGGTTTGATTTTTGTCTCATGCTAATGTGATACTTGTCTAATAGAACTCATGGACTTCTGGGACACAACCATTTATGCTTCTCTCTTCCACTGGAGAACTGTGTTCAGGATGAGATCTAATTCATGTATATGAATATACATTTTTCTTCTATACTAAGTGATAATTATTCTGTCTGTCTTGACGCCTTACTCTCTTGCACAGGCATATTTTCATTCATAGTTGGACAGGCTTTTCAGCCCTAATAATGACTTGGAATATCTCTTTAATGCAATGTGTGTGTTTTACTTATAATAGAAAAAAAATCTTATCCTCCTTATAAATACAACTTTCAGTAAGGAGACCAAAATGCAAAACACAACTCAGAAGTGTATGGCTAGGAAAGACTCTCCCAATCAGTAATGCAACTTGTGGACATAAATCTGACCTGTGAAAAAAAATGCATTCACTTTCTCCAGTAATCGAATCAAAGACATAATTTGATAATTGAGAATGGTTATAATCGAGTTTTTCAAATTCTGCTTTGCTTCTGATTCATATATACAGAATTCTGGGATGCTTGTCAGCTCCAGAGATGGTGAGTTCTGCCTGTCATTCTGGGGCAGATCGTCGCATTTTGGAAAACTGTTGTTTTGAAAGATCTTCCTTTTAAAGCACTACAGTTTGTCAACATGTGACTTCTATCATTTCCAACGAGTTGTGGTATATTCATTCAACAAATATCATTCAGTAGCAAATATAGTGCCAGGTGAAATCCTAGATATTGGAGATTAAGGGGTGAAAAGGCTGCAATTACTGTCCGAGGACATCTCCAGAGAGATCCCAGCTCAGCACATATAAACAGATGACCGTGCACTATGAAAGCTGTAACATAACAGATATGTGTGCCACATGTCACTGGCACAGAGAGAAGGGACAATTAATCCTCCAGAGGGGACTAGGGAATGAGGTGGGCTGTGATATCTAAGAACCTGTACATCAGGATGAAAATAAAAGACAGGAGTCCAGTCAGATCCAGTCTATCCCAAATCTACGGTCTCTTCACTCTATCAGCCCGACAGATACATGCAAACACTCCAAGATGTATTTCTTTACTTAGATTTTTTTCAACCTTTATTATAACTTCTCAGAGAGGTTTAGCTTGACTCCCCTCCACACATCCCATGCCAGCTTTCACTGCTGCCCCCATAGAGACTGGTTAAAGCATCACATGTATTCCGCTCATAGCAGTTATCAAAACTAAAATTCATTAATAATTAGTATAAGCTTTACTTTATAAGCTCCTTATTCTGCAAGAATCTAAAGTCTAAATTATCTATGATCTAGAGTCTATATTATAAACCTTATGAGGGCAGGGGCCTTGCTATCTTGTTTGATGGATCCCCTAAGGAAAAGTAGATTGAGCAACACAGCAGGAACACGGTACGTATTAGCTGAATGAACACATGAATGAATCCATGCACCATTTCTTCTTTTCTTTTTTCTTTTCTTTTCTTTCTTTCTTTTCTTTTCTTTTTTTTTTTTTGAGACAGAGTCTCACTCTGTTGCTAGGCTGGAGTGGAGAGGCACGATCTCAGCTCACTGTAATCTCCGCCTTTCGGGTTCAAGCGATTCTCCTGCTTCAGCCTCCCGAGTAGCTGGAATTACAGCCGTGTGCCACCACACCCAGTTAATTTTTGTGTTTTTAGTAGAGACGGGGTTTCACCATGTTGGCCAGGATGGTCTTGAACTCTTGACCCTGTGATCCGCCCACCTCGGCCTCCCAAGGTGCTGGGATTACAGGCCATGCCCAGCCAACACCATTTCTTATACAACATGGTTTTGAGTTATTTTACCTACAACCAACTCCAGCTGGTTTAATGTGTAGCTTACAGAATTGAACCCACTGTTTTCAGGCTTGTCTACCTTTTCTACAAGGGAGAAAGGCATTTTACAAGCCACAGAAGCCCCCTAAGTTTGGAATTCTCCACCAGAAATGGTGGAGAAGAAAGACTTTTTCAAGGTCCTGAAGGGTGACTACAGTGACAGGATTCAAAGCCCCACACACAACAGACATGTGGCCAAATTCTTCCCTTCTTCATTAGCCAGTATATGAAAAAAGCAGAGGACGCTCATGGAATCAGGTATACCCAAGAGTGTCCTCATCACCTTTTCTAAAGATTTCAATAGGTTCAAAACACAAGTCTCTTAAAAACCACAGAGCAGCAAGTTCTAGCCAACCAAAAGCATTTACTATTTTCCCAAAATACCTTCTTTGCCTCCCTTGGGATGTGCTTCTTCCACTCTATTTCTACCTCACTGACCCTCACCTCTAACTCTGCCTACTTGAATTATACTCATTGTCTCTGCCATGCCTCCCAACCCCTATAGCAGGAAATGACCGCTGTTCTCTGGCTTCACAGGGCACTTTTCCCTTGTTTGAAAATGCTTGTCAGGGCCAGGTGCGGTGGCTCACACCTGTAATCCCAGCACTTTGGGGGCGCAAGATGGGTGGATCACTTAAGGTCAGGAGTTTGAGACCAGCCTGACCAACGTGGTGAAACTCTATCTCTACTAAAAATACAAAAATTAGCCAGGCATGGTGATGCATGCCTGTAATTCCAGCTACTCAAGAGGCTGAGGCATGAGAATTGCTTGAACTCAGGAGGCGGAGGTTGCAGTGAGCCAAGATTGCGCCACTGCACTCCAGCCTGGGTGATAGAGTGAGACATTGTCTCCAAAAAAAAAAAAAAAAAAAAAAAAAATGCTTGTCAGGATGTCTCATATTATAATATAATTATGTATATGCTTCATGCCCTGGTGGTAGAAAGAATTCTGAGTGGCCTCCGAGATTCCTGCCCCTGGTATATGCACCCTGTGTAATCCCACTCCTTGATCATGAGTGTCTCTTGTGCCTATGAGGGGGTATTACCCCATGATTCATTTCACAGATGCAATTAAAGTCCCTAATCAGATGACTTCAGGTTCATGAAAAGAGAGGTTTTCTTGGACAGGTCTGATATAATGAGGCAAGCGCTAAATGTTGGAGAGTTGAAGGGAGAGGGATTCTCCTGCCTTAAAAAGGCAAGCTGCTTGTTGTAGAGAGGACCCCCATGCCAGGGAGCAGTAGAAGACCTCCAGGGATGCAAGCAGCCCCCAGTTAATAGCCAGAAAAAAAAAAAAAAAGAAACCTCCATCCTACCACTGCAAAAAAACGAATTCTGCCAACAAGCCTCAACCCCAAATGACACCTCAGTTTCAGCCTTGTGAGAGCCTAGCCAGAGCACCTAGCAATCTAGCCTGGACTCCTGACCCAGGGAAACCGTGAGATAATACACGTGTGTTATTTCGATTCACCGAGTTTTTGGTAATTTGATATTCTGCAATCAAAAACTAAAATACCTATCAAATAGATTGTCTCCAATTTTTTGCACATCGCTAAAATCAAGGCAGTTAATGATACTTCCCCCCGTACTTGGCTTTAAAATATTTTGAAGATTCAAAGAACAAAATATGATATGTGGTCCCTGTAAACTATGTTTCTTCTAGACTGTTTAAAATGAAAATGAGAGTATGGAACTTTTAGCAAGTTACTAATAAATAGACTCATGTGGTTTGTTTGTTTGTTTTAGACACAGTCTCACTCTGTCACCCAGGCTGGAGTGCAGTGTCTAGATCTCAGCTCACAGCAACCTCTGACTCCTGGGTTCAAGTGATTCTCGTGCCTCAGCCTCCTGAGTAGTTGGGATTACAGGCGCCCACCATCATGCCCAGCTAATTTTTGTATTTTTAGTAGAAACAGGGTTTCACCATGTTGGTCAGGCTGGTCTTGAACTCCTGACCTCAAGTGATCCACTTGTCTCCACCTCCTAAAGTGCTGGGATTACAGGTGTGAGCCACCACACCTCACCAAGTCACATGGTTTTTGTTTGTTTGTTTGTTGGTTGGTTGGTTTTTGTTTTTTTTGTTTTGTTTTGTTTTTGAGACACAGTCTCACTCTGTCGCCCAGGTTGGAGTGCAGTGGCTCGATCACGGCTCACTGCAAGCTCCACCTTCCTGGTCCACGCCATTCTCCTGCCTCAGCCTCCCAAGTAGCTGGGACTACAGGCACCTGTCACCACACCTGGCTAATTTTTTTTTGTATTTTTTGTAGAGACGGGGTTTCACCGTGTTAGCCAAGATGGTCTGAATCTCCTGACCTCGTGATCCACCCGCCTCGGCCTCCCAAAGTGCTGGGATTACAGGTGTGAGCTACCACACCCGGCCAAGTCACGTGTTTTATAAAGAATGAGGAAACATTAATCTGAATCCTGACTTTATGACCAGCTAGCTGGGTTGCCTTGAGCAAGTCAAAGCAAAGTCAATTTCTTGGTATGTTAGCTGTACATATAAATACTGATTATAATAGCTATTACTTATTGATAAACTCCTGTGTATCAGTGATTATACGTATATTACTCACAAATACTACAATAACAGTGTCAGATAGACATTATTTTCATTATACAGATCAAAATGGTGAGGCTCAGAGAAATTAGCTGTAACACCCGAGGCCATACGGCAACTGCAGGACAGGGTCGTGATTTGAAGCCAAGTTTGTCTGACTCACAGGCCTGGGCTATTTGCCTTTAAAGTGAAGGGTTATGTAAGGCATTCTCTAATTGGGTTATCCTGGAAATGCAGACTGAGTATGTGATTTCCACAGAACAAGACAGGGAGAAGGCCCTCCTCCTCTACACCTCAGAGGTAAGTCACATCTCAGTTCCTGTTGGTCCAAATGAACGCAGGCTGAGGCAATGGCAGGGACCCAGAGCCCAGGCGGGAAGACTGCAGGGATTTAAGAACTCGTTTACTTAGAACAGTGAAAAGGAAGTCAAGCGTGAACTTTCTGAGCTCCAAAGATATTCTCAGGGCCCATTTGCGAATAAGCATAAATCTTCAAATTTATCCAAAGTTTAGCAAATTCACAATGACAAATGTAACAGTTCCTCTAAATTGAAGTTCATCTCTTGGCAGTTTTGGAGGCTTGGAGAAAATGCCAGCAACAAGGACTTGGAAGGAAATAAATCTTTAGATTCCCTGAAAACACAGAGAGTTATTGTGGAAGACATATGGAGGACCCCATACTGCGTTAAGAAAGAAAATTTATAAATGTCAGCTTCATAGCAGCAATGTCGAAGGGATTTCAGCAATCCACACTGAACTACAATATGAAAAACAGGCTGCAGGTACACATTTGCCATGAAGAACTAATTATGCTTAATCTGTGCTCTTTCTGGGAGGAGCGAATGAGGAGAGAAGGAGGTAAGTTTCCAGGATCCAGAGTAAGAGATTAGAATTTTTTTTTTTAATCCAAACAGGTCATGTTTAAAGATTCTCTACTGTTAAAAAAAATAATAAAAATTAAAAAAAGTTCTGAATAGTGAGATGGTAAAGGGTCCACAGTATGGGCCCATATGGCAGAAGAGTTGAATTCTGCATCTTTGAAGGCCTCGCTTTTGTCGTCTCTTCAATACTAATGGTCAGTCTGACACCTGCTCCCAGGTTTGTAGTGACGATGGAATGGCACATGGTCACCAAGTACTACTTGTCAAATATTGACCATGGGCCTTTCTCTATCACAGAAACAGGCACAGTGACTCCAAAGGTGAATGACACAGTCTTCACCCTCAGTAAGCTTACAGATGGTCCTGATTTATAAAAGCATTTCCTAAACTGTAAAGCATTACTAGAATGTTTATCATTTTAACTTATTAACTAATCCAGTAAGCTATTATTGAACATATTTGAAAACCACCAAGATAAAAACCCCAGTGTCTGACTCCATATTTTTTTTTTTGGTAAATTATAATATTACAGCAAGAGGTACATACTTACATGGGACTAAAAATTCAAATCTGTATCTGTCTCTTTTTAGCCAAAACCATGGCTAATATTGGAGAGTCTTGATTTTTTTTCTTTTCCAAAGGGAAATAGGTAATAAATGAAACTGCAATTTTAAAAATGGGAAAATAGGTAGCCGGGTGCAGTCGATCATGCCTGTGATCCCAGCACTTTGGGAGGCTGAGGCAGACCACTCACTGGAGGTCAGGAGTTTGAGACCAGCCTGGCCCACGTGGTGAAACCCTGTCTCTACTAAAAATACAAAAACTAACTGGGCATGGTGGCATGTGACTATAGTCCTGGTACTCAGGAGGCTGAGGCAGGAGAATCACTTGAACCCGGGAGGTGGAGGTTACAGTGAGTCTAGATTGTGCCACTGCATGCCAGCATGGGCAACAGAGTGAGGCTCTGTCTCAATAAATAAATAATTAATTAATTTTAAAAATGGGAAAGTAGGAAGTGAAACGTAATCGTACGCATTCCTAATTTCCGGGGAATGGGTCATCTTCTCCCCAAGGTTCTGAATGAAGATTGTGCCAATTAAAAGGTATCCTGGTTGGCCACAAAACCCAGAGCTAGAAACAGAAGGAACACAATGGAAACACCAGCTGTCAGGAGCTGCAGCAGGACCTCAGGAACGATGCTGCAAACATCTAATGAGAAATAGAGAACTTCCTACAACTCCCATAACTAATGTCGAGGAGGCAGTGCTGAAGATGAGCCTGGATTTAATAAATCTTTTAATATTTCCACAGCTGGGCCTGCTTACTCAGGGCTGGTGGACCATTTTCTTAAATAAGGCATGGCGCTGGTCTGACATTAGTTTAACAAGGTAATTATCAAGTGAAAAATAGCTGCCGCACTGCTGTGAACCTGAATAATAACTCTCATAATTACTGATTTTGGGCCCATCTTTTTAAAAAATAATAGAGCTCTAAGTAGTAAAGCATTTTACAGGAAATACGTTCCAGTACAGTGTCTAGAAGGGTGGAGAACTATTAAGGATAATTAGCGGTTTATTTACACAATCAGTCAAACACCATTTATCATTTCTCTTATGGTCCTATTGAAGGAAAGCAAATAAGCATGAGAACTAAGTTATTTTATGCAGGCAAATTTGAAAAAGAGAATTAATATTAATTGTTTTAAAGCTTGAAAGTTGAACTTTCTAAATGCCTCAAGGGAACACTGAATAAGTATAGCGCAGTTTGCCAAATACTAGTACTTCTCACATATGACATGACAGACATTTCCAAAGGAAATTTTACATGGACAAATACATCTCTCAGCTAGCTAATTTTAATCTTTGGAATATTTTCAAAGCTTGAATTAATTCAGAAAACACAGACACAAATAATTATCCTTTACCTGAGAACCATCTCAGGTGGTTGATTTTTATCTGGAATATGAGAGCAACATGGAGATACCGTGTGTGTCTATGAGGAAATAACCTCGCAAGCATTACTGACTGGGACAAGTCCATAATTAGATTTTGAAAGAACTCTTGTTTTTTTCTTTGTTTTCAGTGTAACAACCTCATCCTGACATAGCAAATGATTCATTTTTCAAAGTAAAACAAAGACAAACAATCGAATTGCAAATAAGATTACTCAAAGGCAGGAATAAGTCAGACATAATGTATTTTTTAAGGAAAGTTTGTAAAAATAATGTAATGCTCTTATAGCTTTTGACGAAATGGAGGACAAATTTTGATGTGCAAGGAGTAATGGTGCTGTGCTTCATTAAATGGGAGGGGCTTTATTACCAGGCTCCTAGGTGACCTTACATCCTCCTTTTTCAGATCTTCAAAATGATAATTAGTGTCATCATTGTCAAATTCAAGTCCTCCTGACTTGTTGAAAAGCCAAAATACATATTGTGACAGAGAAGTTCCCATCAAAGAGTATTAAGGAGAATACCAACTGGGAAAGGACCAACTTCATAAAAATAAACAAGTATGGCATAATGGTTGTGTGAAGCTGATTCTCCTGGAAGGAATAATAAAAGCAAAATACATGAAGGCACCCAGTTCCGTAAGCTCCTGAATTCAAATACTCCAATATGATTACCCTGATTAAACAATAAATAATGAAACATACCCTGATGGGTAATTTTGTCATGGAGCCTCTACATTCTTAATGAAATCCATCTGAACATTGCTTAATACAGTCGCAGAAGAGTGCTAATTTAACCTGACTTCAACAAATGCTTTATTTTACCTCATCTGCATAAATAAGATGTGTTCACAGTTCGAAACATGACATGAATGTGAAGATGACGCTATACATTGGCTTGTGGGGAAGGACACCTGGAATTGGCTCACTCCACTAAACCAAAATATCACCAACCATTATTATCTAAAACAAATACTGCACACATCTCAGCTGAACACTGTTTTTTCCAAATACTTCACGTTTAAAAAATAGTAATAATGTAGCATTTGGAAATAATGTGTAAAAATAATGTGAAGTATTATTAGGAACAGATTCATAAACAGAGGCAGAGGGTATCTATATGAAAAACCATGACTAAGATCTGCTAATAATCGAGTCTTTGAAACAATAGCTCACTGTATCTTTAGCTCCTCCAAAGCAAGAGATTTTGTTCATTCATCTTCTTATCCCCCGGGCACAGACAGATGACACATGGGAAAGTCATTGAGGAAGGTTAAATAAATAGGTGCTTCCACTGAAATTATACCCAGTAAGATGCATTCAATAAGATTAAAGTACCTAGTTAACTATTGCTGAGAATTACTTATTCTGTAAAATTTGATGCTATAATTGGGTTTACTAGGAGGTTTTGAGACAATGTGGTGAAATACTCTAGCAATCTCATGGTCCAAAGCACCAAAGAAAAACGAAAGTCTTAGCATTGTAGGTTGGGTAGGAATTATTTTAGTTCGAAGTTTAAAATATGAGTCTCAGCCAGGTGTGGTGGCTTACGCCTGTAATCCCAACACTTTGGGAGGCCGAGGTGGGTGGATCACAAGGTCAGAAGTTCAAGACCAGCCTGGCCAATAGGGTGAAACCACATCTCTACTAAAAATACAAAAATTAGCCAGGAGTGGTGGTGGGGGCCTATAGTCCCAGCTACTCGGGAGGCTGATGCAGGAGAATTGCTTAAACCTGGGAGGCAGAGGTTGCAGTGAGCCGAGATCGCACTACTGCACTCCAGCCTGGGTGACAGAGCAAGACTCCCTCTCAAAAAATAATAATTAAGAAAAAGATTTAAATAAGTCCTCGTCCTTTTTGTGGACACATTTCTAGATTGCTCTATAATACAAAACAGGCTGCGGTCACTTGAGATTGTGATGGTGGAAACCTATTAAAATATGGGAGAAACCATAGGTTTAGTAATGTGCCTATGGGCTAGATAAACAGATATCTTGGGTCACATCTGTACTGTTTACCAGCACTGCATCATCTGTTCAAGTTACGAATATCTATTGAAAGCTTTGTATTTGAAAGACATAGTGGCAGAGTGTTTTCTGCCATGAGTTTAAGAACTAAGGGTTTTAGAAGGTTAGAAAGAAGTCTTTGCCAGGCTGAATCTTTTTCCACTAGGAGCAGACTTGATCAACACCCCCTTCTCCATGCCTCATTGTACTTTTTATATTTTTTATTCTATTTTTGTTATAAAAATTGTATGCATTTAAGGTGTACAATATGTTTTGATATACATATACTTAGTGAAATGATTACCACCATTAAGCAAACTAATATAGCCATATCCTTCTACAATTTTTCATTGTGGGAGCACCTGAAATCATCTCTTAGAAAATTCCTGGCATATAATACAGTATTATTGGCTATAGTCATTATGCTGTACATTAGGTCTCTAGTGCACCACAGAACTTTGCTTGCACTACTCTTCAGGGTGGATGCTACTGCATTAGAGTTCATCATTTATGGGTCTGTCTCCCTTGTTATACTGCAAGTTCCCCTGGGCAAGCCATATATATCACAGTCCTATGTGTGGGCTCAACACCTGCCCAGATGCCTGGCACGGTCAACTGTGGAAGGCCTGCAATGCAGACTTTGGACTTAAATTCAGGCAGACTTTGACCTGCATCCTCACTCCCAACCTCTGCTGGGGTGTTTCTTTTTTTAGCTGGGGCTCATGAGTACAGTTTCTGGAAAAAAATAGAATTAAGACTTGTGAATAAGAAGTCCAGGTAGATCTCTGAGTCTTTTTTGTATAATGTGTCATGCTCACACCACATTGTAGCTGCTCTGGAATTGTCAAGATTTCACATTTGAACATGAGCTGGGGTCCTTGAAGTAGGGCTGCTATATTTAACAAAGAAAACATAGGATGCTCAGTTAAACTTGCGTTTCAGATAAATATCAAAGAAGGCTGTAGTAGAAGTATGTCTCAAGTATTGCATTTGTATACTTATGTTTTATCTGGCAACCCTAACTTCAAAAACATAATAAGTTGGAGGTAAGAAGAGTCAGATAACATGTTTCTCAACAATTTTTTATTGTGTAGAACAGTTCTCTTCTCCAGTCCCCAAACAATAAATTCTGGTAGCAACACCTGTCATTGTGACAATGAAAAGATTTGACACACTTTGTTTTACCCACTATGGGGTAGTGTTATTTTGGTTTGAAAACCATAGGCAAAATACTGCATAAAACCGAAAGTCAGGAAATGCATATGCCGGGACTGCATAGATAACATAGTCACACAGAGTCAGACAAAGAGCACATCACGTCCATTTTCTGGTTAGTACCTCATTCAGACCTCCAAAACAAGCTCGTGAGGGGAGTCATAGATCTGACTTGTGTTTAAGACTGTACATTTGACAATTGTAACCCCCAAGAGGAGAGCTAACAACCAGCTCAGATTTCATAACAGCTTGACTTATAACATATTAGAGGACAATAAAAACATACCATATCTGAAACGTCAATTATAAATATGATAATAATTATACCTTCAACTTGTACCGTACTTTAAATTCATTCAGAGCACTTTTTTGTCCATTATCTCATGTGATCATTAGTGTGGTATTTATCAGACATTAGAGAATGGAATGTCTCTTCAAGCCATTGTTATGGCCAATTTGCAACTTCTGATACTATCAATTTGAAACCACAAATGAGAAGAGATGAGTCTCCTTTTTCTCCTTCAGAAATCTGTCAGTTCATCTATCAATTGTGGGCTTTCTCTCAAGTATTTTTTATGACTAGTCCTAGATTTTCCATTAATGTCACAAGAACATTCTCTTTCTGAGCAACTTAGGTAATTATGCTAATTTAAGGTAAGAGTTTTAAATAAAATCAAATCAAAAGTAAATTTAAAAACTTGTGATGAACTATCTTTCTCCCAAGAACTGTCCGGCCGAGGAAGGCAATGTCTGACAAACAGCAAGAGTTCAGTGAGTTCTGAATGAATGAATCCATGAATGAGGGAAGGAACAAATCAACTTCGAATAACAATCTGCTCTACTTCTAACTGAATTTGCTACAAATCTCACCAGCCTAATGAAGACTGCTACGGAAATGGACACTCACTAAAATCACAGTATCAGTTCCCACTGCACTCTAGCTTGGGTGACAGAGTGAGACCTCATCTTTAAAATAAAAATAAAATAAAATCACAACATCAGAGGCTACAGCCATCCGGAAACCATTTAATGGAACCCCATGTGAATAAATGCATGGTTGAGTCATCTGAGAAAATGACATTTATGTTTTTAAGCAACCAAGATGCCACAGTCAAAGGCAAGAATCCATTCCCGTAATTAACCATCAAGGACTACACTGAGGAAGTGCATTCTTTCCTTGAAAATAAATTTTTGAATGCAATCAAAATCAATTTCCTTTCCTCTGGTCCTCAGTGAACAAGATACAGAGCCCACTCTTTACATATACCTTGCCCAAAGAAATTACTAGCATTGATAAATGTTCAGCAGTTCCTTGCTCTCTGAGCAAAATGGGGGATGAAAATCTCACCCTCTGTTGGACAGATGTGGTAACTGTAATTTTTTGGAACTTGTTTGTTTAAATCACCACTTGCCATTAATATTCATTTTTCCCCAATTGGTCTTAAATTCTTGGTTCCTTTATAGAAAGAAGACAAGTCTGTTTTGGCTCTGCCCAAAATCGGAGTTCTTCCCATTATGTGTCAAATAAACAATGGGAACTATCTTCTATTGTAATTTGAAGTGGCTGTCGTCTCATAGGTTTAACTCACTCACTTATTCTGTCATTCATCCATTCATTAATTCATGCAGTAAATATTTATTTACTGTGGCTTTTCAAGAGTGGCACTAAGCTGAAGTTACAGGTGCATCTCATTTAACCTTCACAAGTACCCTAAAATGTTGGCAGTATTGTTACTCAGATGTTACAGATCAAGAAACTGGGGTTAAGGTAGTTTAAGCCACATGTCTAATGTCATCTCACATGCCTAACATCCAGCAGTTACAGAGGAGCAAAGACTCAAAATGAATCTGTGTGGATCCAAAGTCCATGAATTTTATCTCTATCTCAATGGATGAAAAAAAAAAAAAAAAGAATGAGGAATGTTTAGGGAAGCAAAATTACTTTATGGAGGATCAAGTCTGCAGGGCCAGCTGGCCATGCCTTCTGAGGAGGCTCAAGAGCTTTAAGCAGTGGCCAGAGGAACCTGTGCCTTTCCAGGTTTCAGCAGGACACCATAAAGGCATTATTCCTAGAAAAAAACACACACTGGTCTTAAATTCCTGCGCTTGAAATCCCTTTCCCCATGTGCTGCAGTGCACACTCTTTGCATGTAACTTTTTAAAGTGGCCACATTCCTGCCATAGTAGTTATTAAGTGTGGTGTCAAAATGCCTTATGCATATTACCAAGGAGTGATTTTCCCAGAAACATGTTTTAAATCATGTAAGGGGATATTAGATAAAGAGAAAATAGAGAAAACGTGCTTTCAGAATTCCTATATAGCAAGCACAGTAAAAATACAGCTGGGTGAGGTCGAACCAATAAAAAGCAGTAGAAAAATAGAAACCAGACATAGTGAACCTACTTGGGCCCCTTGCAGAATTTATCTACCTTAGAGGAACATGTCCAAATACACAGCACATAAAAACACATAGTATAAGACAAAATTGAAGAACTTAGTCAATACTGCAAAGCTATTGGAGCTTTCAGGAAAAATAAAGGGGGTAAGGAAAGACAATGTAAAAGAGAAAGAGCAAGTGTTGAAATGGCTCCACAGAGGTGCGGATTGGCGGTTCTTCAGACTATCTAATGAGCCTTGGTGACTGAGGAAAATAAAAGCACAGAGAGTGATGACATTTCTTAAAACGACTTTTCTCTTTTTGGAGAGA